TTTTCCCGGGTATCCCATACTGCCCCCTGGTGGCGTCCTCTATCTTGTCTGCTGTCATGATTCATGCAGCTATTATTTCATCCAAATGAAAAATGGAGAACAGATAAGCAGATCATGGCTTGTCTACAGTGAAAAGAAGGACTGGGTTATTTACTTTTGCCTTTTTGGAAACACAGGAAGGAGCAATCAGCTAAGTGAGCTTAGTGCTTGGAAAAAATCTTTCATTCCGTTTGCAGCATGTAGCATGAGTACAAAACATAGATAGGAAAACAACAAGAAAAGAAACAATAAGGGAGGGACAAAACAGAACAAATAATGTATGCCTATTCTATTAAAATTTCTGTATTTGTATAATTGGTCTGTTTTTTCGCCCCTGAGCTTTCCTTTAATTTGTGTTTTAGATTTAACAACAGACTGTGGGGATTTTATTCTTAATCAATCTACATGACCTTCCTGTAAAACTTGCCATGATTTTGTTTGTTTGCTTAGTTTATTGAAAAGGAACCATACACATTAGCCTAAATCACAAAGAGAAAAATCTTTTCAAATAATTCTAGCTCTCAGAGTTCATTTGTATCTCCTCTCCTTGACACACCGACACATATTACACAACAAACAGTACAAAAACCCAAATACAAAGCCTTTATGCAATATCAGTCATTACTTTCATTGCCAAGTAAAAGTAACAGTTAAAGATTAAATAAAATAATAATATAATTGAAAGTGATAAATTATCTAATCCAATAGCCTTATTTCCCATAGACTGCATTGTTCTTCCTCCTTCATACCACATTTCATAACAAATGAATAGTTTTTTTTGTTGTTGTTTTTTATTAAGAAATGCTTTTAATTTATGTCTTGTTCCTATTTCTGTTAAAATTGCCTTTCATTCAGCTGTTTTATTGAACGAAAAGCCTGATCAATGCTGTTCAGATGTGGGGAATGACAAACTGCCCACTAGATGTAAAATATAGCATTTTGTTTGTCATGAACTGGTTCTATAACCTGTGTTTAATTTTTTTTATTTATTTAATTTCCCCTTTAGCATTAATGAAGTATACTTCATTTGATTTGGTTTTATTTGATTTGAACTGAATTATGCAGCTTTTTGTAAAGTTTGTATTAACAGTTGTATGGTTGAATTTACCAACATAGAGCATTCCTGTTATTAGACCTTCAAAAAAGAGGAACTCTGATTAGGACAAATCTGGGAGAAAATAAGAAACTCTGACTTGCTGAAAGGAAAGCAGAATAATGCTTGAGGAGGGTTAAAAAGTTATTTAAATAAATATTTAGCTCAAGAAGTTTAAATGTTTTTAGTTAACATGGTAGGTTGACTAAAAATCGATCCTACTTAATTTCTCCCACATCAGCTCAGGGTCCTTCTCTGTGAATTCAGCAGCAGATCTGACCTGCGCGGCTCACAGTCCGCAGCGCGCGGCTCCCCCGGTGCGACTCTCCTCCTCTTCCTTATCAATCTTCTTTTCAGAGATGCAGAGGACAGAGCCCCAGGCGTCAAACACTGTTTTTTCATCAGGTCCAACGTTGTCGACATGAGACCTTTAGCGCAGCCGGTTCTGCTACCCGTCTCATCCGTTTCCCTCAGCGGGTTTCCAGACTGAGAGCAGCGCACTGTCAGTCAGCTGCGCCTCTGAGCAGCTGAGCGTCAATAAAACAGGTAGATGGACCAGAGTGATGCAGCACTACGATGGAAACGCCTT